ATTAATATAGGACCACACAATTATGATCCATGTAATAAAAAAAAAAGTTTTATCAAACTTAACAGCATTATGTACACTACTTTTTACAAGTTGTTTTTTAAAGAAATTAAAACTTTTGATCACTTGATTGCATCTCTGCTGAATAGAGACATTCATAATGTTACAAAATATTTATATTTCAAATAGATGCTGTTCTTTTAAACTTAAGCAGAATGATTTATGAAGACTGGAGTAGTGGCGCTGACAATTCCACTTTGTCTTCAAAGAAATACATTTAATTTTAGAATTAGGGGAAAAATTAATTATAATACAATTTTACAAAATTGCTGTTTTAACTGTATTAAATAAATGCAGTCTTGATGAGCATAAGAGACTTTAAAACATTTTTAAAAATCTCAGACCTCAAACTTTTGAACAGTACAGTTTATTTATTGGCATTGACAGGTCCATGAAGAACCTTTAATATCCAAGGAATCTTTACATTGCACAAAAGGTTCTTTAGATAATTAAATTGTTCTTCACAATAAGAAACTATAGTTCTTTTAAAGGGCACCTATTATGCAAAATCCACTTTTACATGGGGTTTGGACATAAATGTGTTGGCAGTGTGTGTACACAACCACCTTACAATGATAAAAATCCACCCACTCCTTATTTTTTAATCCCTATTAAACCAAATCAGTCTCATTAGACATGCCGTTTTGATTCTTTAGGCCCCGTCCACGGCTGCTGACTGACACGGCCGTATTAGCAGAGACCCCGTCCTGAGTGAGCCGCACACAATCCGCCATGTTTATCTTCACGCTTGAGCATTTAAAAGCAACAATCAAGTTAGAAATGTCTTCTTATTAAAGCTATAGAAGTTATTCAGTCCAGAGCAGTGAGTGATTTTCTGTTTTTATTTATTGTTTGAGTCATATGAACAGCGTAGACCGCAGTATAGGTACTGCATATTAGGGCTGGGTTTTGACACAAATTTCACGATTCGATTCAATTCGATTCTCATTCACAAGCTTGCGATTCGATTCGATTACCAATTCGATTCGATTCAATATCGATTATTTTGGATATATATCAGGTACAGTACATGCCAAATTTTCTCAAGGAAAAAAATCTCTCAACTAATGCTGTAAAATATATATGAGATTCAGTTGGTACTACATTAATATTGAAGGTTAAAATTGACAGATTTGTTAAAATTACACAATGAAGTTTTTAAAATAATAAAGTTACAATCACATAATATTTCTACTTCAATTCGTTTTTTTGAAATATAAACAATGGTGGCTGTCATAAAAACTTGATGGATTTATTCAAACATAAATTAAACATTAGCCCATGGTGGCTGTCATAAAAACTTGATGGATTTATTCAAACATAAATTAAACATTAGCCCCTTTCACACTGCACGTTGGTCCCGGAAAATTGCCGGAGTGCCTTCTGTGTGAACGCAAACACGTTCCGGGATTGATTCCAGGATCGATCCCGGGTTGGGGACCTAGTATTGCCGGGTTCAGTCCCGGAACGAGCTCTGTGTGAACAAAAGCCAGAACCAATGCCGTAAAGGGCGTGTTGTAGTGATGACGCAAGTTATCGTGCGACTCTTTTACCGGGTGTTTTGAAGGCAGATCAACGTTCGCGACGAAAAAATGTGCAAACTGTAATGAAGCAGAGATCACGTAGCTCCTTACTATCCGCGCTGAAGCCGAGATCGTTTGCCAGCTTAAATGAAATAGAACGCGTCACATTACACGTCACATCGTAGTGTCACGTGTCTTTACGGGATCTTTACGGGATGTGTGTGAACGCAGACACAGATTCCACAAATATGTTTTTTCTGAGGTAAATGTGATGTTACATGACATTGTTTACAAGCCGTTCTATTGACATCTTTGTGCAGTCGAAACACTGATTGAGCGATTTCATGAGACAGGATGCGGATTGTAAAGTTGTACTCTTTCTTTTAACTTACCTTCGGATGTTTAGTCAT